CTGCCATCTAATGGGAAGGTTATTAATGCCTTTGCGATAGAACTCCGACGATCTAGACTGCACAAACTGTGTGAAAGCATTTTGTACTGCCTCCTGGGAAGAAAACTTCTTGTCACGTAGATAATTGTCCAAATCACGAAAAAAATGGTAGTCCGTTGGAGCAAGGTCTGGTGAATACGGAGGATGACGAATGGTTTCTAACTGCAGTTCCTGAAGGGTCAAAATGGTTTCTCGTGCTGTGTGAGGTCTCGCGTTGTCGTGGAGCAATAATGGTGAAGATCGATTCATGAGTCGGGGCTGTTTTACTGCTAGTTTTGTCAACATGGTTCGGAGTTCGGCACAATAGACATCTGCCGTTATTGCTTGACCAGATCGGAGAAAACTATAGTGAATAACACCATGCTGAGACCACCAAACAGTTACCATTACCTTTTTATTGGTAAGTTTTGCTTTAGGACACTGTTGTGGCATTTGACCTGGGGTCAGCCATTGCATTTTTCTTTTCCGGTTATCATAAAGAATCCACTTTTCATCACATGTTACAATTCGATCCAATATTCCTTCATTTCTGTACCGGTTCAACAAGGCAACACAAGTTTCAACACGCGTTTCTTTCTGCAAATCAGTCAAATCATGAGGCACCCATTTTTCGTATTTTTTTATTTTATTGATTTGACGCAAGTGAGTCAATATTGTGGGTAAGTTAACGTTAAACCATGCCGCTAATTCCTGGGTAGTTTGACTAGGATCGGCTTCCACTATCTCTCTTAATTCATCGTTATTCACCTGTGTGGGCGGTCTTCATCGTGCCTCGTTCTTTAAGTAGAAATTTCCATCACGAAAGCGTTTAAATCAAAATCGCACGGTGCGTTCATTAGTAGACCCCTCTCCAAACGCAGCATTGATATTGCGGGCTGTTTCTGCCGCGTTAGTTCCGCGTCGGAACTCGTATTCAAAAATCATTCGAATTTTCGCAGTATCCATCTTTCTTGTCTAAATTGAATAACAAAAACAATTGAAAGTCGATATTCAAATGTTTCAAATTTAAAAAAAAAAATCACAGAAACCATTTCAAAAAAGTTTCATTCGAAAACCTCAAACCATGAAGATTCTATGAAAATTCGAAGAACCTATTGCAATAAAACGGCAATTTCATACTTTAACCCCTAATATTTTCCCTTTATACTTTGATACTGCGCGCTGCTTAGCCAACCCAATACATGATCTATCTACAAATATATAGGCGCACTATATGCGTATGTAAACTTAACGTAGTCTGGTTGCGTAAATAAATTTTACGTAGAACAATACGTACCATTTGCGCGTAATGTAAACCAAATATTGACTCATAAATATTTTTAAACTAGTGCGCTCCGTTTACGCGAACAAAATAACTTAACGTACTTCATAGTTTCACATGTTAACATTACTGGTAAAATCCCTGGGCTTACATTGGCCGTTTCAAGGAACCCTCGACAATGCGTCATACTCAATTAAGCTTATTTAAATCTGTATTCAAAACCCGACTAGCACAAATATGTTCTATAAAATTTGACAACACGTTTGTATGTTACAGATTAGATGTAAAAATCCTTGAAAGTAGCGTATATAGAGCAGTAAGCGTTTACTAAATACTAAACCCTTGTTTTTACTTTGGACAAAAGAAAAGTTTAGGTGTTTTGTCATTCAAGTCATTTTGAACGAAAAACAATTTAATAAATACTGTAAAACAAAATTGTTCCGGAAGACACTTTACAGAAAATAGCCGCAAAGATTTTATAATTACGTAACTTACTGCAATATGTCCAAAAAAATCCCTAAGTGACCACACTATTTTCAATTGACATAAAAAATAAACACCGTATTAAGGCCTTATTAAAAAAAAGTAAAACAAAAAATACATTGTAATTATGAAGTATTTTTTCATCACACTTGCTCGTATATAGTGTGATTGCATGGTGGTTAACTTGACTATAATGTCCCAAATAAAACACTCGAGAACCCTTTTTTCTTTCCATTACAGCCATTGTCGGTAAGGAGTTATTTTTTTAATTTGTAGCATGACAAGCTTCCTTACATAGGTCAGGTTCAAGATCTAGCAAGGAGGTTACTTAAGTTCAAAATTAAAACATTCGCTTAAAATTTTATCTAAACAAATTTAATTGCAATTCACCCACATACTACTTAAATGCTATAATTGATTTTAATTATTTTTCGTGTTTGCTTTTTACATTTTGGTTCGAAGTTCATTTGGTTTGTGTATTATCTATGGAAAAATTAAAAAATAAAACAAAAAATCTGCCATTTGCGAAATCCATAATTGTTGTGTTGTGAACCATATTTATATTGTATTTATTTCCTCGCAAATGTGATGAAAATATTGTATGTATCACGGACGGTAAAAAAATACAAAACTTGAGTTTAGACCCTCGTTGGTAATTTCTTATTTACCGTCTCCATATACATACATACACAATGTACTATTCTCATAGCATTACCTATTCGTTACATATTCAATCTTTCCACATGTAAAATTTTTATCTTCACACAATCTATTTCAAAAACTTATAGTAGCTGATTCTCCGCTCCGAAGATTAAATGGCTCCTTTCGCAGAAAAATAAAAGTACCTGAGAATTTTAAAGCTTTTGTCTGTGTGTCTGTATGTTTGTCTGTGGCGTCGTAACTCCCAAATGGATTTTTTTTGTAATGCTCACTGCTTGGCGGTAGAAATAGGTAAGCTGACACAGTCGCATGAGCTTAAGTGTAAAGCCACCCTCTTGCTGAGCACGGTGCAGTCCCTATCACACACTGTATAACTCGATGTAAGCAAGGTGGAAGATCAGCTCGGGGAGTACAATTCACCCTTCGCCTAAAACATTAACACGCCATAACGCCTAGAAGAAAATACAAGATAATACTTTGTAATAACTGTCACATTGTAAATATACATGAGGACAAGCTGTGTATACATGTAATAAACAGCTCTGAGACACGTTGCTAGATGAGGGTTTGTACCAATTGACGATGGTAAGCGACACGCCTGTCCATGACAGTAGCAGTGCCATTCAGAGACACTGCCACAGCGCCTGTCACCTGAGGCATAAGTTAACAAGTCCCGTGTGCCTGTAATTTCACCAGCACCCTTATCCTACAAAACCGAAACGCAGTAATGCTCACATTACTGCTTGACGGTAGAAATATTTAAGATGACAATACTTCCCTGGACGAATTCTTTCACAAGGAGCTCTACTGCTACAAATAGATCATACAATTATTTCAGTTAGCATAATTTATTACTACCAGGTTTTCATTTCGCACACCTCATGGAAGAATATCATAATTGGAGTTACGTCGGCTAATATTGTAGATAGAGTTACAAGAATCGGGGAGGTTGTGGGTTGTATTTGTCTGTACCTTATGGAGCAATAAACATTTTTGACGTAACTCCACTTATGCTATTCTTCCTTGAAGTGTGCGATTTGTAGATTGGGTGTGGCATAATCCTAACCACGTTTTCTATTGCAGGAGGCGCAGAGGTTGCGCGTCGCTTTACTCACAAAGGAGAACATTACCGTCGGCTTCATTACCATAAACGGATGGAGTCTTGAACCTTCCTATATAGGAACTAGTCCCAGTCACACGAACGATAAAAACTGCATAGACATCCCTCAAAAAGTTCTATGTCACAGGCGGTCACAGTCGCTGCCTCCCAGGCTTGGTTTGAAACTTAAATTTCCATCGTACGGAAATCTTTTGAAGCAAAATTTTACTAATAGCCACCAAGTGACATACAGATTTCATTCTGGATTGGGTGGTGACATCACTGTTCATGAAATCATGGCTGAGCCGAAGATGTGTTTTTCACTGCCCATACAATTGCTGTGAGTATGCATTTGTTTTGTTGTAGAAGAAAAGAAAGTAAGAAAAATTGTAATATGTAGATCTTAGGTTTTTCTTTTTTTTTATTATAAAAAATAAGTGCGCATTTGACCTCCATCTCACCTGATAGGGAAAGTGACGATGAGGTCGACGGTGTAGCATGCACACCTAAATAATGCCTATCACTCGTCTTGAAAAGTTCCAAGTTATAGCGTTCGGGGAACATGTCCGCAAGGCAACGCTTCGTGCGAATCCTAGGAATATCCACAACAAAGGGGTGGAACTCCAGCCCACGTCTAGTAACTCAGTAATGGAAAGGGGAAGCCGGAATCAAATTATGCAATTCCATCGCACACTCTCCGTGGTATATGCTGTAGAATACCGATAAGCAAGCAACTTTACGACGGTGTTCAAGGCTCTGCAGCTTCGCCTCTACTAATTCCGAGTCATCAATAAGCCTCTTGTCACGCTTGTCGGTTGTTATACAAATGGGAAGTTGTCATTTTGCAGATGTTACCTCCATTACACCAAGTCAAAGTCATATCAAAGTCAAATAATCATTTATTCCATAGGTAAAATTTTTACACTTCAAAACGTCATTTTTTAAGTTACTGCTCGTTCACTACGCTGACCTTTCTGAGAAAAACGAGCAAGAAACTCTAGGGATTGCTCTTTTCAAATAAACTTAAATGCTATGGAATACACTTTGAATCATAATTGTGTGGAGTCTAGACTCTTGTCGTCTTTCCATACTTCTTTGTCTAAAACATACTCTTCAATTTTGTGATATGACTTTTCAATTAAAGTACTTTTAATGTAAGTTTTAAACTTAGGAAATGATAATCTTATTGTAAAAACGTATACAGTTCCCCATATAAGAATCGATTACCTTAGTTAAACGAAATCGTGGTACCATGAGTTTGGACTTAGTTCTAAGGTTAATATTATATCTTCTTTCTTAATGAAATTATGTATATTTTTACGGGCATACAAAATATTTGAGTAAATGTACTGAGATGCCACAGTCATGATACCGATCTCCTTAAACATGTCTCTGAGAGAAACCCGAGATTATATTGTTAACATTAAACCAATAAACGACCTTTGAAAGGGTATCGTTAATATTATCATAGTTAATGTGATGTCTGTTTTAATTATTAATACAAAGATCGAACACTCGGAAAAAACACTCAGAAAAAATTCCTTCGATCCGGTCGGATACGAACCGACGTCTTCTTGCATACCGTGCCAGACGCTATACCAACTAAGCCACGGAACGAACCAACGGACCTCACGAATTTTTCTATGTGCTTGCGTCGTGTCTTTGTACTTGGTTTTTCAACGACTTTTTAGTCGTAGCGCCATCTATGAGAAATCTTTGACAGATTCATCACCCAGTTAGCACCTTTACAGCTACCAGTCCTGGCGAGAGATGTCGCTATTCACTGTATTAATTAAATTTTTATTGAATTGATATTCAATTATGTTACGTGGCTTAGTTGGTATAGCGTCTGGCACGGTATGCAAGAAGACGTC